TAACCCCGTCCTACACCCAAACCCGGCAAGCAGCTTACGCCCGGTCCTGCACCGTACACCCACCGTGCAAGCCCAGTTTGGGTGTATTCACGGCCTGGTCTTTTAAACCACCAGTGCTTGGCCCAACTATCGATGCCGAGCCTGAATATGCCCTGCCCACTGATTTTAGCCGAACATGTGTGTGTGTGTGTGTGTGTGTGTGTGTGTGTGTGTGTCTGTGTGTGTGTGTGTGTGTGTGTGTGTGTGTGCATTGGTTTCACCTGACACTTCTTTGTCTACAGAGAACACAAAGAAAAAACAGTAAATATACCAATAAAAAAAAATGAGATGGTAATCTTAACTGTAGTACACTCTAATACCCATTGGCATATACGAAACGCTAGTGCTTAAGGTACGAAATAAAAAATTAACGAACCAATCGATGAAATTGATTGATTCACACACTCATAGACACATACACACATATAGACTGATATAAATATAAACATGAAGAGAGAGAGAGAGAGAGAGAGAGAGAGAGAGAGAGAGAGAGAGAGACAGACAGAGAGAGAGAGAGATGCACCAGGGCCTAACTGCAATATGTACGTGGGCCCGGGCTTTGAGATGCAATATGGCGGACTAATAAGCTTATTCAGCTGGCCGCATACTTGGGGCAGGGTCGAGTACGGCCGTGTCCTTGCACCCCTATTCCTCACGGCTTGCGCGTGGGCCCGGACGCAAAAAAAAAAAAAAAAAAAAAGGTCACCGCGTGTGGCGCGGCCCTGATCATGCCGTAAACCCAACCAAAGTCCAGTCTCAGCTCCAGGCTCAGGTCTAGACCCAGGTCCTGCCTCAGGTCCAGACTCAGGTCCAGGCTCAACTCCAAGCTCAGGTCCAGGCTGAGGAGGCGGCTCAACTTGAGAACAGGCGCAGGTATAGGGTCACGTCCATGCTGAGCTCCAGACAGAGGTCAATTCTGAGGTCCAAACCCAGGTCCACGCTCAGGTCCAGGCACAGGTATAGGGTCACGTCCATGTTGAAGTCCAGCCCCACGTCCAGGCTCAGGTCCAGGCTCAGGTCCAGGCTCAGGTCCACGCTCAGGTCCAGGCTGAGGAGCCGGCTCAACCTGAGAACAGGCGCATGTATAGGGTCACATCCATGCTGAGGTCCAGACTCAGGTCCAGGCTCAGGTCCAGGCTCAGGTCCAGGCCCAAGTCCAGGCTTAGGTCTAAGCCCAGGTCCAGAACCAGAAAGAAAAAAAAAAAAACAGTTGCGGTCCAGGTCTACTCCGGGCCCAAACTGAGGTCCACGCATAGTCTCGGTCCAGGTCTGGCGTGCATGTACTGGTCCAGGTCCAGGTCAAAAAGAAAAAAAAGAAAAAAAAAAAGGAACGAAATGGGTCCGGGCCTACTCTGGGTCTATGCACAGGTCCAGCCCGGGCTTTCAGAAAAGACCCACATCGTGGCGTACAACGAGGTAAACCTGAGAACACGACCAAGTCCGCTCTCAGGTGCAGGTCCAGGCTCAGGTCGTGCAAAAAAAAAAAAAAGGTTACCGCGTGTGGCGCGGCCCAAGTCATGCCATGAACCCAACCAAAGTCCAGGCTTAGGTCCAGGCTTAGGTCCAAGCTCAGGTCCAGGCTCAGGTCCAAGCTCAGGTCCAGGCTCAGGTCCAAGCTCAGGTCCAGGTTGAGAAAGCGGCTCAGCCTGATTTCGAAGGCGGCTCAGGTCCAGGCGTAGGCATAGACCAAACACCCAGCATTCAGGCCCAGTCTGGGCCTATGTACGGGAGCAGGCCTGGGCTTAGAATTTAAGGGGGGGAAAAAAAAAACAGCAAGAAAAAGGCTTTGGGCCTATACCTGGACCTGACCAGCGGCTTATGCCTGGGTATGGACCAAACACCCAGTCTGGGCCTATGCACAGCCTGGCTTTCGAAAGGGGAAGAAAAGAAAAAAAATTAAGCACAGAAAAGGCTCCCAGCCTGCACCTGGCCTCGGTCAGCTGCTTAGCCCTGGGCCTGGACCCAACACCCAAGATTCAAGCCCAGTTTGCGAGTGCCCAGGTCCTGGCGTAGACCCAACTAAACCTCAGAACAGGCCGAGGTCCGTGGTCAGGTCGACATGGGCTCAGGTCCTTGGCAGGCACTCAGACAGAGAGGCAGACAGACAATCAAACAGACCGGCTGACAGACAGACAGACAAAGAGATAGGCAGACAGAAAGACAGACTATACGTGTTGATGCCTTGGCTTAAGAACAATACCAGCATACAGACTCCGTATAAGGCCAGGCAAACACTCACGTCAACCTGGCTGCATGTGTCTCTCACTGCATGTGTCTCTGTCTGCATGTGTCTCTGGCTGACCGCCTGCATGTGTCTCTGTCTGCCTTTCTCCTTGTCTGCCTTTTTTTTTTTTTTTTTTTTAAATCCCTTGGCTGAGGTCCAACCCCTTGGCGTAGACCCTTGACTGACTGACTGACAAACAAACAGTTTGCCTGTCTGTTCGTCTCTGTGTTTGTCCGTCTGTCTGTCAGCCTCTCTGCTTGACTGTCTGCTTGTCTGTGTGCCTGCCTGGCTATCTGTCATGCCTGCCTGCCTGTTCGCCTGCTGTTTGCCTGCCTGCATATCTGTCTGTCTTTATTTCTGCTTGTCTGCCTTTTTTTTTTTTTTTTTTTTTTTTTAACCCCCGGGCCCAGGTCCATGTTGCCTCAACTGCCGTCAAACCCGGGCCCCGGTCAAGGTCAACGTCATCTTCTTCTACTCCGGGCCCAGATCAAGGTCAAGGTCAACGGTTATTACCTATAAATAGACAGCAGTTGCAGCTCACCACACCATCAATGACGTGGTGAGTTGCATGACATCATATCATCCATAGTGTGAATGGCGGATTCCTTCGTCTACTTCTTCTACTCCGCAGTCAACTGTTCGTCTCTCTCTCTCTCTCTCTCTCTCTCTCTCTGGCTTAATACATCAACATGGTCCATGGTAGCTCGACCTCACGCACGAAGAGAAGGGTTGGGCGAGGCGAGCCCATAAACCCTTTCAGTATAAGATGGCCTGACGGGAGCCTTTTCAATCGAGCGAGCGATGTTGTTGATGGTGCGAAATGGACAGGTGGGAGGTACTTGTGGCAATTGAGGTATGTCTGGGAGATCCAGGCTGCTATGGAGGAAGAAGAGAGACAGAGATTTGAAGAGGAGGAGGATAGAGAACGGGATACGGAGGCGGAAAAGTACTTGCAAAAGGAGAGACAAAATCCGAGGGAGCTTGAAGAAGAGGCGGCGAGGGAAAGAGAAATGGCACAAAGCCTTTCTCCTTCCGAAGTGGAGCAACCGTTTTGGCTAGCTCTCGACATGAGCAGGCGGATCAAGAAGAAACGGGTGGCCACCAAGCACAATGACGCAAACCCTTCAAAAGACACAGACAAAGAAGGAGAGAAAGAGAGAGAGATACATAAAGAGAGAGAGAGAGAGAGAGAGAGAGAGAGAGAGAGAGAGAGAGAAAGAGAGATCGCCATCATCGTCGTCATCGACATCGAGCTGCTGAAAAGACAGAGCTGCCATCATCGTCGTTATCGACATCGAGCTTGCGCGCGCCTTGTACATCCTGTGCGCCAATTCGCCATGTCAGCATGGCAACTGCTACGCGCCACGCGCCGACACCAATGGCCACGTCAGCGTCAGCGTCACAACTGCGCGCCACGTAGATATATATATGCATATATATATATGTATATATATATATATAAATATATATATATACACAGAGAGAGAGAGAGAGAGAGAGAGAGAGAGAGAGTACCCTGGATATGACAATAACAATCACCTAGGTGCGCACGAGTTTTTCATGCACGATTGCGCGCCATTTCTTCATGCGCACGTACGTGATTACATTTGCTCCTGATATGGAGCAATTCACAGAAGGTTAGCATATAAGATTGATTCATATATATATATATATAGAGAGAGAGAGAGAGAGAGAGAGTACGTTGTATATGACAATCACACAATAACAATAATAATTGCGCACGATTTCTTGAAGGACAATTGAGCTCCGTTTTTTCACGTGCTGATTGTTTGTCGACTTCTCTCTCTCTCTCTCTCTCTCTCTCTCTCTTTCTCTCTTTTTCTCTCCCTCTCTCTCTCTCTCTACCAATCAATCAATCAATCGGCGAATCTGTGTATCTATGAATTTGTTGTCATGTTTGTTATGCACTTAATGAAAGATGAGTATGTTTGTGTGAGTGCGTGTGTGTGTGTGTGTTATATTCGCTATGCACTCAAAGAAAGGTGATTGATCGAACCCCCACTGCAACCAATCGATCAATCAACCAACGACTCAATCAATCAATCAACCAATCAAGTCATCAATCAATCCAAGGTGATCGATCGATTGATGGATTGAGTGAGTGAGTGAGTGATCAACCCTACGGATCGGGGTTACATTAGGAAAGCATCCGAAGTTGTGTGGGGGCACAACCTTTTGATTACAAAAGCTCAGGGAGCGTCGTCATCGAGGGTCGGGAGGATCGGGGTTATGGTCCGCCGATCTCTGAAGCCCCATGATGCTTCTCGAGTCCCCAACCCCCCTCCCCACCTGTCGGCACGCGTCCGCGAAGTCGCGCGTCCGCGCGGACGCGTCCGTGGGGTTGATAGGATCTACTTATCTATCTAGCTATCAACCAATTCGATAGGATCTACCTATCTATCTAGCTTTCTAATGTGTGCTTTTATCAAATTCATGCATAATCTTGTCTTTAAAAAATAAAAAATCATTCCATCAATTAATCAATCAATCAATCAACCAACCACTCAATCAATCAATCAAAGTTGATTAATTGACTGATTGATTGATTGATCGATTGATTGATTGATTGATTGATTGATTGATCGATCGCTGTCGGGATCGGCGTTGGGATCGACATCGGAATGTGCAAAAAGAATCCACGTCGGGATCGGCGTTGGAACGGAGTCGAGATCGACGTCCGGATCGACGTACGGATAGGCGTTGATTGATTGACTGA